TCGTGCCTTGTATGATGTTGAAATTACAAATTTCGATAGTCGAGCGTTCGACCGTAAAGTGTTTCGTGGCGTGTTTTGTCATGACACGTTACCTCAGTCAGGGCCGAAAACAACCGAAATGGCTGTGTGAACTTGAATCTTTCCACTTACTCTGGCACGGATTAAGTAGCTTATAGTAAACGTGATAAACGTGTTACATATTTTGATAGTTTTCGTAATTTAAGACCACCGTTGGAACTGCAACGATACTTTAAAGGATGCACAATCGTGCACAACTATAGTAGATGTCAAAACTACGACGAGGTAAATTGTGGTCACTTGTGTTTGGAATTTTTAATCGAACAACAACAACAATAACATGGCAACAATGGTGACGTTATCCGGCGTGGGATCTGAATTGCAATGCACGTTCAATCCACCCATCGATGTCGGTGACAAATGTAAAATTGGGCTATTAAGCTTGCATACGTGGAACGCTATACCAAATATTGACGAGGATTGTAACAAATTCATTTTCGGTACTATTGACAAACCAATTATGGTGATAACACTACCGACGGGATCGTACGAATTTGACGATTTACAGAAACGAATTACGGACAAATACAACGGAGAAGAGTACAAGTACAGTATTCAACAACAACAAAAAGATTTTGATGATCCATTGTTGCCAACGGTTGGATTGCTCAAGGAAAACAGCAGAGAAATCAGTGACAAAAAGTTGGGTGATTGAAACGTTATTTCTTTTACAGCCGATCGCAATACTATATGCAATACTAAGCATAATCAAATGCGATCACTCCATAGATTTTACACACCCGCAATCAATCAGTCCAATACTGGGGTTCCGACCTCGTGTATTGGTACCGAGAATGGAACACACGTCGGATTTCCCATTATTTATAACAAAGGTGACATGCATATGAGTCGACTGCAATATAATTGTAGGTTCATACCACAAAGGACGTCAATCGCATACATTGCACGAATTCTTTCCAAACGTACCACCGGGCTACCGTATTATAGAGTGTCCCAGACAAGTCGTTTATTATCCGTTAAACACAAACGTATTGAACACGATACGAATCGCATTGCTCGATCAGGACGGTCAACGTGTCAACCTAAGAGGTGAAAAATTAACAGTGCGTCTTCACATCAAACAGGATGGATAAAAGTACGATGACGTTATGAGACCGTATAAAACAGTTTGATTCCTCACAAATTGGATTAGTTTTGTGTATACTAGTCACAGTAGTGCTACTATTACTACTCCTTCAAACATCCGTCAACAACTGTAAGCTGATAAACCGTGACAACAGCAACAACAACAAAAGTTTAGCTACAATTTATCGTTTGGAAGCACTGGCTCGAGAACTTTATTCAGTCGACGACCGTGTCTTTATACTGGAAAAACGTGTTGACACTCTTTAAATTCCTCTGAGTTTCAACAGGAGTGTAGTGCATCATCATTTGGGTGACGGCATATACTCTACAACGGAGCAACGGAATAATCGTGCGACGCTATCGCAGCAGCAACGGCAACTAACAAAGAAAAATATCGAATTTTTAAAATCGTTGGGTTGTCGAGTCAATCATGACAGAGTACTTACACGTATTGGAAAAATGTCAGTAAGACGACAGTGTAAAACGCGAGTACTATCTGGAACATCAGAGTTACAAAACTCGTACGAACACAACGATGAAATCCGTATCGAGGTGCGCAACAAGGAGAAATTCACCGTGCCGTGCGAAAGTTATTTGCAAATCAAAGGAAAACTGGAAAAACCATCAGCTGAACAGCCGGTGAAAGGGTTATGGGGCAAAATTTTCATATGCACTTATTCGATGAAATCAGATTTGAGGTAAATGGTAAAGAAGTGGACAAGATAACATACGTTGGGATGGCTACAACCATCAAGGGCTATTGTTCGTTCACACCCAACGACATCCGACGATTACAACCAGTCGGATGGAAATACGCGCAAATTTTGCATAACAACAACGATTTCGTCGAATGGACTGAATTTGTGACACAATGTTCATTGTCTATATGCATGGGATTTTTCGAACGGTACAGGCGCATACTGATAAACTGTACTCAGACACTCGTGTTGAATAGATCAAGTACCGATAGCACTGTCGTATCATTTGTTCCACAGACATCAACGTGAAAATATCGAAAATTAAATGGGTGGTAAAATACTTTGAACCCAGCGTGAAAACCGAACTGGGTCTGATGCGAATTCTGGACAGTAAGAAATGGCTCCCGTTAGAATTTCAACACCGTAGACAACTCATCACACGTGGTTGGTGCGCACCTATTCGAATGTGGAGAAACCTAGATATTTACTTATTACCATGGGTAATGAAGACGATCTCGTTCTCGGAGATTTCAATCACTGTTCATTGAGAAACGTCAAAGCGTATATGAACGCTGACGAGTACCCGTACGAGAACCAAAACGCCGATTTCAACAACAACAAGTACACAACGTTTTATAACTCGTACGCACAATTCCCGATAATGTATTACGGTCGTAAAGACCCCTATCCTTTATTAGACTGTCAAATGGAATACAACGCATTCACGGGAGAAGTACGAAAACTTTAATGTAAATACAAATTTATATTTTATTATTGTACAATTTACAATATAGTATAAAAACAAAAAATTTATAAATATATAATTTTTTTTTTTAATAAAAAAACTAGTTGTTTTGTAAACTTGTTATTTTATTCCAATCATCTTCGAATTTGACTGGAAAAGTCACGCATAGGAGATCTTTCTTGTCAATTTTTGGCAAAGTATCTATTCCTAGAAATGATCTGTTTGTAGCCAATTCCACTAGATTGGAGAAGTAATACACATGCTGAAAATTTTTAAGTATAAGTTCATAAAATAAAAAAAATCAAATATTTTTAAACATACTTTCATGTGTGGATAATCGTTGACGATAATTTTAGATGTGTTTTCTAAATATTTACCCATAAACCTCGTACGACAAATTTCGTGGAAATACAACAAATCCGGTGTTTTAATTTGGAGAAAAATTATCGGTTTATTTTCAACCACCATACGATCAATTGAAGTCTGAAGTATAACCTTTATTTCATGTACAATACGCGGACGTATATGAAACAATTGTCGATGAATTTTCTCACATAACATATCTTCAATGAATTGCAATTGCGCAAACTCAGTTTTTTTCATCGAAAATACACAGCTATTATCACGTTTTGATTGAAACAGTAATGCAACTTCTTGGGTTAGCCTCCTCTGTGTCAGACTCGCCTTAATGTATTCATCTTGCAAAAGTATTATTCCGTTTAAATTTTCTATTATCGATAAAATATATTCGCACATTGAATACATTCTATGTAGTAAATCGACAGTGATAATAAGTTCCTGATGATTGTTTACCAACATGACTTTTGGCGAAAATGAATCGTCTGGGTCCAGACCAATGTATACGCGAGACATTTGTGAAATTCTATATATATTGATGAATCGATCAAGTCGTTGATTTTATTGAATTTACACCTTGATGTAGCCATTGTGATTAAAGTCTCATAATAGGCGTTACTGTCACTGCGGTTCACATTCGTCGTTTTTTCAATTGTTTCGATTGAATCCAAAAGTTCGTAATATATTCGCTTCACAACTGAGCATGCACATTCAGGATTGTCCAAATTTTTCCCCGCATCCGATAATTCACAACCTTCATAATGTAAAAAATCTCCCCCTACACCGTTGACTTTATCGCCTAGACGTTCCGCAAAATATTGCAAATGTCGATAATTTTTCAATAATTTACTGACTGGTTTAAATACTCTATCCGTCAGATCATATTCAACAAGAAAATTCAATTTATCCGATATATCATTGAAATAATCCATCTTACACACACAATAGATTAACAAATACTGAGAACCGATTAGTAGTCAGCAGTAGTTCTATAAAGTATGATTGCCATACCCCCCTAACCCACATGTTGTGGGTTTACCCTGTCCTAGGTGGACGGGTGGTGTAAACGGCTGGGGGATATGATGAACGGCATAAGGCCCCCTTCCCATGAAAGGTTAAGAGTGAAGGGCTCTCTTATGACAGTAGATATCACAAGTATGGGGGGTACATAAGAAGGGGCGCTATGAAAGAATGAATAGTTTATTAGAAATTACTTAATAAATTGTAATTATAAGTTAAAAATGTTTAAAAATATGTGATCTGTGATTTGTTGATCTCCCTATGAAAATATGGGATTTTTCCGCATAAAAGACGGATTATTACTAGAGTAAAATTAATAGTGCTGTGACAGTTAAACGTCTTTAAAATGTTTTCTTGTGACAAGGGTGAAAAAGTGTTTGCATTCAAACATGGACTGGTACATCATCAAAAGAGTCATGATGGTATACGATTTAAGTGTTATTTATGTCCATCTAGTTTTTCGGACAAATGGGCACTCTCGCGTCATGTTATAACAATTCACCGTGAGTATTACAATTGATTATTTAGTAAAATAGTAATATGAAAAGAGAAAATATATTAGTAGAGTGTTAATAGAAGTGTATTATTTTAGATCTCGTAAAGTATGGTATAGACTATAATATTGCTATAGGAAATCATGCTGATTCGAGGGCTATATCAACGAGTGGTAAGTAAAGAAAATATATATTATTAGAAATTTATATGCTAAAATTAATACATGAATATTTGTTTTTAGAAAATGTAAATGTTGCGGATAGAATGCAGGCGGGCCCCAGAGCAATTAGTCCTAAACGTCGCCAACAATGTAATACCGACAATACGATTAAATGTAAACGGATAAAGGTGAAACGATTACAGGACATTACGACGAGCGGTTTTCATAAAACGGGTGAATCATTAAATAGTCAAATTTTATGGTTTTACATAAAGAATATTGAAAATGTAGTCGGGTATCAATCGTTTTTGTCGGCAACAAGAGGCGATTTAGTTGAAAAATTACGCGACTTCTTAAAGTAATGGGCTCGATAAAATTCAACTTAAAACTGGAGACGACTTATATTGTGCCAAATAATGAAACCAAGTACGAAAATCGGTCATTTAAAACGTCGGCAGCCGAGTTAATTAACGAGGACGATATTGATCATGCTGTGGATATTTCATACACAAAATTATTAGAAGAACAGGAAAACTATGCTGGTAAAGGTAGTAATTTTTCGTTTTCTAATATAGACGGTATTTTACTGGGTGTATACAAATATCAGCCTTTAGACGGGAGTTCTTACATTGATTTGTCGCATGATATTAAAAACAGAAATGCTGTAATAAACCCGCAAAATATAGATCAACAATGTTTCAAATGGGCTATATTGGCGAAAAAAGTGACTGGTGATAACAAATATATAGTAGGTCAGAATTATAAGTCTATAGAAAACTCTTATAATTTGTCCGGTTTATCATTCCCAACACCGATTTCAGACATAAAAATTGTCGAAAAAAATAATCCGCATACTTCAGTCAATGTTTATGGACTAAAATTGAAAGATTCACATAATAAATCCAAATATTTAGTTTATCCGCTGAAAGTGTGCGCTGAAGAACGTAAAGACCATATTGATTTATTAATTGTGTTAAACGCCGCGGGTGACAGCCATTACACTTATATTACCGATTTTGGTCGATTGGTACAATCACAAATAACAAAGAATACGGCAAAAAGGATATTTTGTAAACGGTGTTTCACGGGCTTTAATAATGTACCTAAAAAGTATAAACTACGTGGAATTGAGGCGTTAGAAGAACATAAAAAAATTTGTGGCGAAAACAAACCGTTTTTACCTGTAATGCCTGAAGAGGGCACTAAATNTACCTATAATGCCTGAAGAGGGCACTAAATTAAAGTTCGAGTCATGGGGCAAAACACAGGAACATCCATTTGCAATTTATGCAGATTTTGAAAGCCTGCTGGTCAAGTCCAACAAAGATATGAAAGGCAACACAAATTTTGTTCATGATCATGTTGCAATGAGCTATGGATACATAGTAAAAGCAGCCGACAGTGTACCCATTGAATTATTGCAACAGTATAATATTCAAACGACGCCTAAAATATACAGAGGAAATAAAAGCAGTGGGCCTGGGGAAGTAGCCAATCGTTTCATGGATGACGTAACTGAAGTGGCGTTGAAAATTGAAGAGTTGCTCAAGACGAATGTTGATATTTGTATGACACATGAAGAAACTGAAGAACATATAAAGAAAACCTGCTGTGACTTGTGTAAGGGTGGTTTTACAGAGAAAAATCATAAAGTAGCAGACCATGATCATTTGACAGGTAAATCATACACATAACTATGTTAAATGTATAATAATTAATATAAAAAGAAAAATTTATGTATATATTTATATTCGTTTCAGGTAGTTTTAGAAAAACGCTTTGTAACAATTGCAATTTAAAATTAACAACGCCCAAGTTTGTTAACGTATATTTCCATAATCTTAGCTCGTACGACGGACACTTTTTAGTTAAAGCCCTTGGAAGAGATACTAGTAGAATAAGTGTAATACCCGCTACAGAAGAAAAATATATTTCTTTTACAAAATTTGTTTCAAACAAATTTTCGCTGAGGTTCGTCGATACATTTCGTTTTATGGGTACTAGTTTAGCGGCTCTCGCTGAAAATTTGCGCGCCGCCGACATAAAATTATTCCAAGAAACCGCAAAAGCGTTTTCATCGGACGGTGACATTGATTTAGTGACCCGTAAAGGCGTGTACCCGTATTCATACACCTCAAGCTGGGATGTACTCGAAGAAAAACAATTGCCGTCAAAAGCCGATTTTTATAACGATCTGTCAGAAACGCATATTGATGATGCCGAATACAAACACGCACAAAACGTCTGGCAACATTTCAATTGTAAAACCCTCGGTGAGTACTCTGATCTGTACCTGAAAACTGACGTAACAATACTTGCGGATGTTTTTACGAATTTTCGTAAGTTATGTCTACTAAAATATAAATTGGAACCGGCATATTATTTTACGAGTCCCGGTCTGTCTTTTGACGCTATGCTGCTGCATACGGGCGTTTCACTAGATCTCATGAGCGATTATGAACAACAACTTTTTATTGAGAGAGGAATACGGGGAGGAATGACAACTTCGGTGTTGAAACATGCCACAGCCAACAATGAAAAGACGCCTCATTATGATATTAAACAACAAAAATCTGAAATTATATATTTGGATGTCAATAATTTGTATGGTTGGAGTATGTCTCAACATATGCCATGTGGTGACTTTAAGTGGTTGGACGTGGACGACGAAACGAAAATTTTAAAGACTGTGGAAGAGTTACCTGCGGATTCTCCTATAGGAATGGCCCTTGAAGTGACGGTGTCGTACCCGAAAGAGTTACATGATGCCCACAACGAAATGCCGTTTCTACCTGAACGAAAATGTCCGCCTAATTCACGGGTCAAAAAACTGTTGTCTACTTTCGATCGGAAAGAAAACTACGTTATACACTATTTAAATTTAAAACAGGCTATGGCAAACGGATTAAAAGTAGAAAAGGTAATTCATAAAATTATATTTTAAAAATATAATAATAACATGTCATTAAATTACAGGTGCATAAGGTGTTACAATTTAAGCAGTCGGCCTGGCTATCAAAATATATACAACTCAACACGGAGATGAGACAGAAAGCCAAAAATGATTTTGAAAAAGACTTTTTTAAATTAATGAACAACGCTGTTTTTGGTAAGTTTTAAAATTAAATAAAAATATATATAAACATAATTTTAATGCGATTTCGATCGCCCAACCTAGATACGAATTGTAGTCATTTGACATATCGTTGAAAAAAATAAATAAAAAATTTGTTACTTATGAATAAATACACTGGACTACAAGAAACTTTCATCAGAAGCAAAAAATCCAATCCTTAGTTGAGAATAATATTATATCTCTAGATAAAACCATAAGTAAATTAATTTTAGCCATTATTTTTTCTCAGAGGAATCAATTACATCCTATAGTAATAAAACCAGAACAATTTTTAAACGAGATAAACCATATTTTAACTAAAATACCTAATAACCTTCAAGTACCAATAAATGTAAACCTAGATAACATTAACGAAATGTTTAAAATTTTAGAAATTAAAACTATATACAGGGTGTAAATCTTTCGAACCATAGTAATGTATAGGCGAGTATGCTGGTAAAGTGTAAAATAGGACCTCTTTTTTTTTTTTTTTTTCCAAAATTGGAGGAATTTTGGNTAATGTATGGGCGAGTATGCTGGTAAAGTGTAAAATAGGACCTTTTTTTTTTTTTTTTATTTTCCAAAATTGGAGGAATTTTGGAATAACCCCCCCAAATTTCTCTAAAATTAAAAATAAATCATACCACAATATTCCCCGCGAAATTCTCATACAAATTGAGTGGTCACTCGATTTTTTGTAACATTTGCGCCCTCCCCTGAACTTTGGGTTCAAAGTTGGAAAAAAATTTCACATTAGTGTGACCTATCAATTTGTATCATAATTTTACAGGGAGTCCTGTGATGTATTTTATTTTTAGTATAAACGATTAAATAACAAGAAAAACCGAAAAAACTTACAAATATGTAATATTTATGCATTTTTATTGCACAAAAAAAGAAGCTATATTTTAAAGGTTATCTAATATTATGTGCAACTTAATAAGTGACTATTCAATAGTGAACAGTATTTTTCGAACATTTAAATAAACATTAACAAGCTCAGTGATGTACCATATTCTTATTATTGATTAATTTCGGAAAAGAGTAGTGTGCCGATTACATTAAAATAATTATTTCTAATTATCCTATTGTAATAAAGTTAAAAATATTCATTTCAATAGTATAATTGTTTTATTTTCCAGACCTAAAAAGAAAAAAATTTATAATTTTATAACAGTTTCAATGATAAAAATTATAATCGGTTTGAATAAATAATAAAAGACGAAATAGTTTCATGAAATTAAATAAATATCACATTATTTGTGGGTTTTTCGGTATTTCTTATTATTTAATCGATTAAACTAAAAATAAACTACATCACAGGACTCCCATTGAAATTTCAATACAAATTGATGGGTCACACTAATGTGAAATTTTTTTCCAACTTTGAACCCAAAGTTCAGGGGAGGGCGCAAAAGTTACAAAAAAT